AGCAGCCGGGAGGAGAGGCCGCTTTTCCCCCACACTGAACAACAGCTTCTGTCCAGCGCCACTGCTGCTGAGCCTGGGCGGGTGAGCCCGGAGCAGGCACAAAGCACATGGGGTCAGGGCTGTGTAGCACGGGTCCCGAATGGTACCACGGGGTTGGGGCCAGCGGCAGCAGCAGCCGGAAGGAGCCCCTGCCACTTGGGCTCCCTAGAAAGGCAGTCCAGGTGCAGAGCCACCCCAACCCCACTATGTGCCCAGGGGGCAGCAGGACATGTCATGGCTGGACAGTGCCTGGCCAAGGTGAGACCGAGACCCGCCTCAGGCTAGAAAAAGACCCACCATGGGCCATATTTTGCCCACCCCTGGATTATAAGTATCTTGCCAACACTATGTCCTCCCAGTAGCCAAGAGATAACCCTTGCTTACTTTTTGCAAGGTGACTGCTTCTGGCATGGCCTGTTCAAGTAAATCATTTGCTAGATAATGCATCCTACGTTCCTCTGCCAAAAGCTCTCAGCTGAAAGGTACAGCAGGAGTCTCCTTGCCATAGCCCTGCAGCAGCCAATGCTGCTTCGAAGTCAAAAGAGGCAGCTCCAGCCAGTTCAGGAAACACCAGCTGTGACACTAACCTTCCACTTAGAAGAGATCTTGCAAAGGGTACCGTGTACATTTTTTGGGTTCCACATTTTGAAAAGGATGTGGAAAGGTCAGCGGAAGTCCAGAGGCAGGTGACAGAAATGATAAAGGGCTTGGAAGCCAAGTCCTATGAGGTGAGGTTGAACAAAATAGGCAGGTTCCACTTGAGAAAATGGTGCTTAAGAGGGGACATGACAGCAGTCTTCAAATACCTGACACCTACTATAGAGAAGAGGGAAAAGACCTTTTCTCTCCTGCTGCAGAGAGTAGGACACAGACCTGTAGCAGAAAGCCCCTTTTCCTCTTGCCTGCATTTGCTTTCCCCTCTTTGGATATGTTTCTCTTCTTCTACCTTTTCTTCCTTCCTCTTTCTTTCACTGTAAGATAAGGAATTGTGTTTTAAAGTTTGTATGTGTGCATTTTGTATCTCCCCTTGTATTTTGGTATTTTTATCTATTTGTGTGCCATGGCATTACTCTTGTAGCTTATATTTTATACTCTTTACCTTTTATCTAAATGTGTTTTAGTTTTAGAAGTAAGTTATACACTGTAACAACGTTAACAAAGGCAGGAATCAAACCACGGCTTCCCTGTATCAGGCAGACCCCTAAAAGAGGGAGTAAATCTGTGATTGAATGCCTAACAGTAGCAGGCTTCAGTAACAAGGCAATGAACAGCTGCGGAAACCGCAGATCAACCAAGGGAAGAAATCAATAGGAGACAATGTAGCAACCGGGAATTCTCTAAACTTCACTGTTCAAGGGCTAGAAGCCCGGGTCTGAGTTGATCAATGCCGGGAACCAACTTTTGGGGCTGAATATCTCCAGAT